TTTCAGCAGATATGGAAAAATATAACCCGAAATGCAATGATTCAAACAAAACTGAGTATTCAGTATTTGAAATGTACGTGACCGTCTTGTGTTCTGGGTTTATTTGTTTTGTTTCTTTTTCTTTTATTTTTTTTTTTTTTTTTTTTTTTTTTACCAATTATAAGCCTATGCATACCTTGTTTTAAATTATCAACAATTCAATTAATATTGACGAAAAGTCGCACATGAAAAGTAAACAAACTGCAAAAAGGTTGCCAAAGATGAATTTAAGACACTTAGAAATAAATTTTCTAGCATGTGGTAACAGTTTAAAACATTTACGAGGATTGGGGTGCATTCAGATGTGGCCAGTTGTCAAATGGATTGTAACGATAATTTTGTTTCGCTCGTGTAAACGCAATTAATTGACTAAATTAAAAAAGAAATGTCAGTTAGAAATACATAAAATGTACGTTACCATACGTAACGTACATTTCAAATGTAAAAATCAATTCTCTTCCACAAGCATACGTTAGACGCGCAATATATTGATACTATTTGAACCTGCATATCATAAGAAATGCATCATACAGGTTTTGTATTCAGAAATATATACCAGGTATCAAAATTATATTACATAATAATTGACCTTAATATATTTTTTTCCTCAGCAGAGACGTTTCTTTTCATTAATTTTGGGATTTAGCCGACCTCCAACCTTTGAAACTTTCCTTTGTGTACACATTCGAGTGTGTGAAAGTATTAGAATACATGAAAATTCGTGCGAGATTCACTTAATTCGAATTTCATGGTAACGTACATTTCAGTCACGTACATTTCAAATGATCACTTTTCATGTAAAAAATAATTTTTAATTGTGTTAAGCAAAACGTCTTTGCCAGTTTACAGGATACAAGGGGTTGCTTATTCAGAGTCGTCTCATATTTTCTACTTAATATATATTATTAATGGAAGAATATAGGTAACGTACATTTCTTTCTTATCTCTACGATTGAAAATGTCTTTCATTCCGTAAACATATTTATAAAAGTTGCTCAAGTTGTTCAATTTCATGTTACATTATCTAAGTAGGAGTAATTAATCCTTTGAAATTTCAAATTTAGCCCATCAATAAATAAAGGAGAACAAAACTATCAGGTGTATAATCTTTGTGTTTGCTTGTAATGTGGTTGAAATAGAATTAAGCGACAGGGACATTGCACAATAAAAATTATTTATTATCACAAAGAAAATGAATTTATTGTTATGAAAAGAAATATATATGATACAAGGTTTAACTTATCAGAAAATTTTTTACTTGAGAATCAAAACTATATATTACACAGAGGGGATTCAGAATAATATTTGCCTCGGCGACAGTAACGTACATTTCAAATAGGCTACTATATTTGAATTTGGAACTCCTTAAAAACCCTTTCAGATCGATAATTATATGAATTCTTATTCATTGTTATATGACTATTTATAATGTTGATTTAAAAATTACATCAGTGGTATTTCTTTTAAATGAAAATGAGGCGACATCATTTGAGCCCTTATATTGAGAATGGGTGATGAGTTTAAATAAAACGGCATTATCCATGAATTGTAAGACCGTATATTAGTAAAAGTCGGCCTGGTGTGTAAGTGTTTGGTCTCTTATGTATGAAGATGAAAAGAATATGTGTTTCTATGCGCGTATATATAGTGGGATATGCATAAACGGGGAATATTCTTTATCTTCCTATTATATTATTTTTCACATAGTTTCTGTACAATCCGATCACTGAAAGACCAAATATGCTAGCTAACTAGATGTGTATAAGTTTTCAAAGGCACATGTTTAAAGAAATTTACACATCATTTTGAATATTTTTATTATATTTCAAACTTTAAAGAGTTTACTACAAGCATTTTTATGCATGACAACAAATCAAGTATTTGTAATTGTTAACATTGAAATTTTATATTAGTATTTAGTGTCTCTCGGGAAGCAAGTAAATGAAAGCCCTCAAGAATTACATATTTTCATAATTACAACTTCCTTCTATCGCATGTATGGAGATGATGAACAGTAAAGTCCATTAAAAATACGAAATAGAAGCGGAGCAAATAGCTACTTCCAAAAGATTAGTGCTGGAATTAGGTGTGGTGAAGGAGTGATCACCCCTCACGACTGGTCACATCCTCCGAAAAATCCATGGACAACTCAGTGTGTAAATTATGAGTTAACAATAAGTGTGAAACAGTCAGTCATCAGTGAGTATTTGACTCAATGATAAACTGTGTATTTGGTGACAAGAATATTGTAGATGGAACAATAAGGAAAAATATTTAAGCTATACGAAGGTACTTATTCTACCTAATTGCAAATCAATGAGACGCGGATTGTAATTCTGAACTATCTGTCTGGTCAGATTAATGCAATATTTAAAGATAGAATTCATTTAAAGAATATTGCTATCCCTTTAAAAATGCCTTTGACCAGGATTAAAAAGTCTTGACCATCTGCTAGTAATTTAATTTTGCTTGTATTCTAGCCTCTCATTGGTTGATTTCCAAAAAGGAACGTATAACATTTTGTATAATCTGGTTTGGTATGGGGACACATCCCCTTGACAACCAGCATAATCATCTGTATCCATCAATTCCCTCATTTTCAGTCCTTGGGATTCACGGAAAATTCCAGATTTAATGAATGTACTCTTAATTTCAAACAGTTACTTGATCTTACCTAATGTAAACAAGCATCATGGCTGCTAGATCTATGAATCAGTTTTTACCTCCCCTCGCTTCCCATCACTTCCGTTACTACGGTTGTATTATTGCGCGGTAAATTTGAACTCATAAAAACATCACAATTTGACATCCCCAGTTGAATAATTATTTTAGAATTAAATTATAATGAATGACTCTAATTCTTTGCCAAATTATCGAGTATAATATGGTTTGGGTCAGTTTACACTTTTTATAATCCGCTATTATGCTAATAGTGCAAAGAAATTTCAGTCGTGCAGGGCTTACTGTGTTGTGGAAAAATATTAAATCTTTCGGATGCTTCATTCGGAATCGACTGTAATAGTCTAAACAGATCGCAAAACGAGCTAATTTTTGCAAACTAATTGATTGTATATAATTTGTCGATGGGGAGCTACAATTGTTGTCCTATGCTCGGCACTCATTTCCATTACGAACCCTCTCCACAATTCACACTTAAGAGTTCCGATTTTATGGGGGGGTTTTGTAGTAAGAGTGATCTGCCCTTAGATATAAATTCTTAAAATTAGAAATTCACAGTTTATTGTACACAATTTGTAATCAATTCAGATACTTTTTTTGCCCGTTGCATTCTTCGACACAGGACCTCGGTTTACACGGTTTCATACGAAGTCCCACAGTTGGATTCGAACTCGCGACACCAGGATCAACTCCTTACTTCGAGACTAATAGCAGACGCTTTAACCACTGCGTCGCGCGGGCGACTTTTTTGACATATTTGTGAAGAATATTACAGGGTTATTTAAAGCTGAACACGATTCGTAAAAGAAATGTATCCGCCATTTTAGTTCCCGAGACTCGCTACCCTGCAGACCCATATAAATAGGGCAAGAATTAGAGACTGTTCAGTTTAATCAGTGGACATCGGTGTAGACGGACGTAAGCTATACAGGACTTGGTCACGGGAATAATAACGTAATACTTCGTCTAATGCAGGAAAGTAAGATACCAAATAAATTTACAATTATAGTTGTATAAGTCAGTGCAGTATACAAACAACATAGATAAATGTAACTGCAATAAAATATAAACAAAGGTAATGCAAGATAACCAGCACGAACACGGGTCGCCATTCCACGCCGATACCTGTGACAATAAAGCAGTCAGGTGTAACGAAAGCGACGAGTATACCCTAGTATTGAAGTATCGTAGATAATGCTATCAAAAATGGCGTATGCCTATTTACGAGTCGTGTTCAGCTTTAACTAACATTGCTGAATAATGGCACGAATTGGCTGTTTTAATGCACGAGCTTGTGAGTGCATTTCAACAGCCAACGTGCCAATATTCACCAATATAAGTTCATTAGCTCCTTTATTATAAAGTTAAAACATTTCCACATAATTTACAATAATTATTCCAGCCAAAAAACCCTCAAATTAATGACTTTTTAGTATCAGTCCTCAAATTCACGTCTGTCCCGTTAGCGTTCAATACTACATCATTCTGATAACCCTATTACCGAGCGATATAATTTGCTTATGTAGGTATTAATAAATAATTCATTTTTTGTGAAAAATAAACACATCTTACCTAGTGCCACTTCCTTTCTTTCATTTAGCTCGGAGAATTTGACCAGACAACTTTTTTTGTTTACAACGAGGCGTTCGATATTAAACGGACGTATACGGAATGTTTCGGACATATTCATATACGTAATACAAAGTTAGCGTTCAATAAAACGTCAATTTTAAGATATTGAACGCTTAAATTCTCTGGATTTTTGGCAGTTTTTCATTAGAGACTATTTATCAGCTATATAATAATGACATTTAGCTCATGAAGAATAGAAATATTTACCCGGCCATACAATGGAGGACATGACGATCTTGATCGTCGAAAAGGTAAAAAAATCATAATTGAAGGTTGATTTCTTTAGTGTAGTTGTTTAAAAATCATTTTATGTCACTTCCTATGGTAAAAAATCTAACCCTACATTTTAAAAAACATTTTGAGTGTATTCTTCTTTTCTAAATCTAGGATGTACTCGATATTTCCGTCCAGGACTGAAAAAAAAGAAAAAAAGAAAATCATAAAACAGCTTTTCTTGCATTATTGATAAAACTTTACATCGCAAGTGAAGTTTCTAAAAATGATACCCATGTATCAAGAGTGACAAAATACTTAAGTTTAAATTTTGATACAAATTTAACCTTTAAATCAATAATTATGAAATGAATTTGATTTAAGAAATTACTTTGCAATTTTGTGTTCACAATTACAAATAAGCTGCTTATTAAGTCTTACGGAATAATTTCTTTCACATTCTTTAAATTTTCTGGCTGTATTGTTTGAGTGATTTGTGGAGAAGTTCCAAAATGGTTTTCCTGTACTATCGTTTCGATGTCACCGGCCCTAAAATTGTCAAGTGTGTATTCAATATCTTTTGGGAACTCTTCCATTTCTGTAAGCCTCTTGTTTTTACCGGCATTTAAAAATGCAGTACATGGCCTTGCATCTATTTTTTGGTCTAATTGAGTTTTAATTCCCCTCAGCTGTTCAATATTTTTCTCTAGAGTATTTTTTGTTGCCTCGATTGATTTCAATGCCTTCTCTTTTTCTTTTTGTAGATCCTGCACTCTCTTTTCTTTGATAGCTGTTACTTTTCCTACTATTTTGTTTGCATGCGCTTCCATCTGTTTCTGAACTTCATCAATTCTTTTTGAAACTCGAGATATCTTTGCATCTTCTTTCCTCAATAATTTTTCATACTTTGGCAGGAGTTCAGTATCAATCTCATTACTCTCTTTCTGAAGTTTAGCTCTGATCTGATTGTACACTTCACCCAACTTTTCTACTTTATGCCCGTTATGCTTTTCAATTACGCAATCGGGGCATACTTCCTCCAGACATGCTTCCCGATTACAGTAGAACTGTAGCCTTTTTTCTTTGTGGGATGGGCAATGAAGAAGTTCCAATGATCCCCCTTTATCAGAAGTCATGTCTATGATCTCGTGTGGATTGGATAAGTGTTGTGCCTCGTGCTGTGCCTTGCACATCTCGCATAGAGAACCAGGGCATGTTTTGCATAGAAACTGTGCTTTTTTATCATCGCAGTATTTACAGTTATCATCTAAGGAATATTCAGCAACGCGATTGATTTTCCGCGGAGCAGAATAAGCAGCTTTTCTCATTATAAGACGTGGTCTGCAAAAAAAAAAACATTTATATGAGATGACTTTGTAATATTACGAAACTCCTACTAATTTCTAATAAAAGTAAAAAGGAAAGGGGTGGAGATAACGAACAGTTATCAATGTAAAAAAATTAAACAGAGCAGAGTATAAACATGGAGTCTTCAAAATCCAGAGGTAAGATAAGGTGCCTAAGAGAAGCAAACATCCAGTGCCGACCGGTCACACGCCCTGCGAGCCTCATTATGATCAGTTAAACGAAAGATTGTTTAGTCAAGCTCAGTATAAAGATAACAATTGGTATAAAATATATTATCCAAATTGCAACACAAGATCAGTTATATTTTACAAAAAAGGTCAACGGGATTGTTGATAAATAAATCCTAGAGAGCGTCCTCTACATGTAACACCCGTCCTAAGTGTGCCCTAGAAGTTCACTTACACAGAATATACCATAGTTCATTATAGGATTAAACGTTCTTTTTGAAAAATTTATCGATGTGTAAACTCTTGACATTTTACTCACAAACTGAATAAAAGTTCGAAGCACATTTATGTTAAGTTTGTGAGTAAAATGTCAAGAGTTTACACATCCATAATTTTTTTTAAAAAGAACGTTTAATTCTTATACTTCCAATATCGAATTTTTTAAAATATTCAAAATATTTCTCTTTGAGGCCTCCATACAATCCGTTAGTTCTGGACGGCGTAGGAATACATTTTACCGCAAAGGAACGTAATCGAAATGAATTTCGATAGAGTTCAACTAAAATTGTCAAAACAATCGATAAATAATCTTATAAAGACTTATTGAATGTTGTTTAAGTCAACAAATATCGTAATTACGAGTTTACTTAAGAATAGTTCGTCCTTGACCATGGCCATGTTGACATAAACGACAACTCTCATATAGGGAAAGTTGCAGACCGACGACGCCTTCGATTTGCACTTGTTTGTTCAAAGATTGAGGAACAATATAGAAAGTAAATATGAATTTGATGCTTATAGGGCAAGAGTTTGAGGTACGTTTCTTTTCCCTGTCTAAACGATACAAACTGAGTTGATTATCTTCGTATTATGAACGTTGAGACAGCGGTTTTTAAAATTCACTCTCGTGATCGAACAGTGACATTAACATTTTCATGGCGCCCGTCAGCTGGGCAGCCTAGCATGTCACCAGTTTTGTTTTAATGAATTAAATTTGAAGTTTCTTGTATTTATAATTTATCCAAAACAGACAATATATAACTGCTTTCGTTGTTTATACGATAAACTACATGAAGAAACCTAGTCTTAAAAGTAGTTCTGATTGAAAAAAAAATTATCAATGTGTAAAAAATTTCTTAAAGGTGTTCTCGTCCAATCAAAACACAGGAATTCAATAGATACAATGAAGATTGGAATTATTTCATTATAAATATGCTTCTTGTCATGATCGGAAATTACCGAAAAGCTGTCGCCAATTCACTGTGTAAAAAATGGACTAACAATCACGGAAAATTTTACTGTGACGTCACACAAAAATGACTTTTATGTATTTCTCATTGAACCTGAAAATGAAATAGTTTGCATCTTTTAACTGTATTTGCATAAGAAACAACATTAAAACTTGTCAATGCATTTAAAAAAAATTGCTAGTTAAATCCCGTGTAGTTGGTTATAGACAAAGCACTGATCAACATGAACTTGTAAACATGACGTCATTTTGGTAAAAATGAAGTATTTCATGTGCTGTGAGAGGCAGATTTGAGGAAATTTTTTAACAATGAAAAATGTGTTTTATTCAACAAAATATTATTTTCAGGTTTTAAATAGTCGATTAATACCAATGTATACCCTCTGTTTAGTGCAATTATTAATTAATTATGAAGAGAATGTGTTTAATTAGTTATATCGTGTTTTTACGTACAGGTTACATATATTTTACATCGAGATACCTAATAAAATCGCACTTTCGCAAGGGCATACACTTCATAGATCTTAACCAATTTATTGAATATAGATAAAGGATATTTTTGTCAAGTTGAAAAGTGCTTCTGCTTTCTTTAAATCGAGAGTTAAATTTTCAGGTAAATGAGCTAATGTCAAATTAAAATATGTTTGACTTTAACCAAATTTTTTGTGTACCTATAAAATCATTGAAAAGCGAAATATATTCAAGGCAGCAGCACTTTTCAGAAACTTCAAAGTATGCAGATACAAATAATAACTTGATTTTTTAATTTCAACTAGGGTATGCCCTTGCGATATTGAAATTTGTTCATGACCTAAATTCAGTACACATACTATGCATTCATCACGTGACTGTCCATCGATGGGACCAAACTTCATACAGTACAGAGTGGGTTATACTATGCTATTTCAATAACTATTTGTGTTCTGTGATAATGAAACAACTAAATTAAAATAAATTCAGTTTAAAATGGTCCCCCTTTTTAGCACGTCTATTTCCCTTTGATTTCTTATAGTAGGCCTTAACAGTGCTGCGTGATGATATTTGTTATGAATTTATACTTCCAATTTAAATCAAGTGGTTTGTTTTGGTATGCAAATAAAAACTAATTACAACAAACGTTCCCATACTTAAAGAAAGTGTTAAATCATAAACAATTATTATGAAAAACACCATTTAGCATTTCGATCAATTCGAAATATGAGGTGATTTTATAACACAAAATAATCAATCTAATCAATAAGATTTGATTTTACAATTAAAAAAAAATTTAATGTAATGACTTAGAAAACATTATATTTATTAAATGTTAGAAAAGACATCATGTAGCATACATATACAAAAAAAAAATCTTGTTTTAGTTGAAATGTGAATCAGAGGTGATATTACAAAAAATACTTTTCTCCCTAAAATATCAAACCAAGTACTAGTATTCGACAAAAAAATTCTTTTAATCTAAAAATTAAATGAATATCTGTTAACATATTTATGAATTAAACGGTCATTTAAAAAAGATAACAAATCCTCAAATATCATATTATATACAACGATACCCAGATGGTGTTGTTATTCTTTTCCTATGCATTTCCTCTCGATATTTTTCAAGAATAATGATATCGATGAAACGGGAGTTTTATAGGCAGAGCAAAAATAGAAAGACTTTTAAATACTTTCAGCCAATGATGACTAATACATTATTTGCCAACCAGTGCCTTTATTCCACAGGGCCAGTAACATGCATACTCTTTAAATTTACGTAATGACTTTATATATACAAAAAAGAATATATATAGTCATTATGCAAGTTAAAATTTAGCATGCTACTGGCCCCTGTGCTTTATTCAACAAAAAGCAATTATTGAATCATTGAATGGAATACGTCAAGCTCTTTTGAATAATATATATGATTCATGAAAAACATTCAAAAAAGTTCACACTACGCAGAACAGTTTAACTGACAAATGGATAAATCAGCGATTTTATTGCTAAATATTTTTTACAAGGATAGGTGATTCTTTTAAGGGCTTTACTGTAACAAGAAAAATTAAGGTGATTCAATACTATACATGTCATTTATAAATCCCAATATTGCAAGGCCATCAGCAAGTTAAAAATCTAATTTTATTCTTTTTTTCCCAATAATATACGGTATATACGTACTTCGAGAAAAGTGCTTCAAGCCTAAGTAAATGCACCTTTTTCATAGCTGTTTCATTACATTTCTTTGAACCCAAATTCAATATTTTGCTAGTCAACTACCGTACAACAATAATACGAGAGCTGTTGAATTAATAATGTTCTGGACTGTATGACATACATTACAGATATCATATGACTTTAAACTTGACTTTCTCTAATTATTGAATCTTTCATGAATTTAAAACAGTTTATGTGACCACTTTTCATCACAGAGTTCCATAGTGAGAAGCTGGGAAACAAGGGCTTTTCGAGACACTGCATTATAAATGAATGGTAAAGAATCAATATACTGGAGTGGAAATAAAATCTTCATTAAAGCTGCCGTTAAACTTGTTAATAACCCCAGAGAAATATTTACTGAAACAAAAGAGCAGGTGGATTTCAATGATAAACTAGAGGTACTGTGAGAAATGAGCTCACTAAATGATACTCCTCCCATAATGTCGATGTGTTGCTTTATATTTTTTTACGGTAATGTGTAAACAGAAATAATTCGTCCTATCAAATGTTATCCAAAACAGGACCAAAATCTTCTTTTATGTGACATCATAGGTAAGCAAAAAATGGCAATGTCCATGTTTTGCTCTGGGAAACCTAAAATACGTGTCGAATAAAAAAGTAAAATAAGAGGTGCACAATGGCAGTATGTAACAAAGATTCTGTGAAAGGTTCATTAAATTTCACCCAATGGTATAAGAGGAGTTGCAGATAAGAGAAAAAGCGTAATGAACGGACGAAAGGAGGGACGGACGCAAATCCTGATCACTACATACCCTCCTGCTTTTCAAGAGGGGGTATAAAAATTATATAATGGGCATCAAAAATTGGTACACGCCTTGCCAACAAAAATTATAACAAGTTATGTATTGTTCGCCAAATTTCAACAAATAATACTGTAGAAGTGGAAAACATTACGGTGTTTTTAATTTCACTATGTTCACGATTTAAGAATTTTCCGCGAACTTTAAACCATAGTGATTATTATTTCACATCTTTTCTGCCTAGAAACAGTCATAGTAGCTGAATATTTACAAACGATTCTCCGTGAAATTAAGACCACCGTGAAAGGTACCTTTCTATCAAGCCGTGAAATTTAAGACACGTGAAATTAAAGACGTCTGCAGTATTTTATGATGTATAATTGACTTTAAGACACACAGCAAATTTGATAGACATCACATCGGGGGTAGTTAACACTGTATTTAAGAAAAAG